ATTTTTTTTTATTTATTTATTATTATTATTATTATTATTATTATTATTATTATTATTATTTTATTTTATTTTTTTATTTTTTTTTTTTTTTTTTTTTTTTTGAATTGGGGGAATGCTGATTGGACTGTGTTTGATTAGACCTTTGCCTACTGGTTGGTGATGGGCAGCTGTTTATGTTTCAGCAACAATGAATTCGGGGGTAATTTTAATTGATGAGACATGCCTTTATTAATGTTTAAGTGTAAATTATAATGTTTGTTGAGTTTGCATGCAATTTGACATGTACAATAAGAATAGCTCAGCATTTGCTGAGCCCCGATATAAGGAATTTAATTCTTTTAACATTTTAGGACTTAATTATATTCTAACCAACCCCTGTAGTATATCAACAGGCCCCTAGTCTAATTACAGTGTATTAGCATATAGGCCTAATTGAGGATGCCTTGAATGTCAACTGAATGCCTCGTCAAAGAGACCATAACTAATATCAATAACGCATCAGACCACAATTAAATGGAAGTATTTTTCATTGTAGTTTGCTTTGGCTGCATAATTAACTGACTATCAACAATGGAGAATTTTTTGTTCATTTTAATGATCACTTTCTGACATCACAGTTTATCAATCCTATGTATTCCTTAGTCTGCATTTTTTTTTTTTTAAATTATTATTGCTGTGGGACATGTACTGTCCAATCATGAGTAACACTTATTAATGATTGAGAGAGCTTCCCCTTGTATGGAATGCATTGCCTTAGTTTGAGCAACATAAAAAGCATATAACCCCTTCAATGGCAAAGATTTTAAGCATTTCTAGACAAATTGATATGAAGATTAAAATGCATTTTTATGGTATTTCTTGTTAGTTATATATAAATCAATGACATATATTCTGAAAACAGGTACTGTGTTTTTTTCTGAAAATTATAAAATTCATTTCAGTTGCCATGGCCACAAATTACACTATTACAGTGCTAGAATTTCTATTCATTAAATAATGAGTTTCGTTCTTGTTTTATTGCTTAGTTAAATATATTAAAAAATATTTTATTGTTGTGTTGAAAATTATGAATATGTTGGGATGTAAACACCAGAATTTAGCATTTTTACAACTAAAATGTTATCCCTGCATTGATTTCGATAATGGCAAAAATGCTCAAATAGTGTGCAAAGTTTTACTAAAGCTAGCAAAAATACTGGTGGTACATGTACAACCAATTTTTTTTTTTAAATTGTTATTTATTTATTTATTAGCTTTGTTTTGTTTTGTTTTTGTTTTTAGTATGAATTTTTTATTTATTTATTTTTTTAAACCCACTATACTTGTTTTTCAAGTCAGAAGCATAGAAATACATATATGCCATGCAAAAGGCATATTCATACAGAATGTATTTGTAAGACATTGACCCATAAAATTTATAGGCCTCATGTGAGGAAAGACATTGTAATATGCCGGTTGACCCCATATTGACCTGGCAATGAGTAATAAATTTTGAAAATTATATAAAAGTCATCTATTACCTGACTGACTAGCAATGGTTGCCAAAGCGAATAAGGAGTTAAATTCAATGATGAGCCAAGAGTTACACATGATGCCTGCGATTCTGTAGAACGTCTGTTGCCATGGTTGCTGAACATGATGTTATATCCTATGTTGATACTTTAGCTGTGTATGCCCATGTAGTTCACACATAGAGTAATATGGATGGACCTTTAGGTATGGATCCATTTCCAAGTTCGAAGTGTTTTCGTGTGGCTTCCAGTATTGTTTTGTTTTCTTGCAGTCTTGTTCTACTATGTTGTGATGTTTGTAAATTCTGAAGCATTCTTTCTCATTATATTCAATCATGATGCAACTCTTATGTTGTCATATTTTTCAATCAGAGCTGTGTATCTATTTCATAGTTCTCCCATTGTGTCTGTGACTGAAAATTTTTTAATTACTTTTGAGATCTCCCCTGATTTCCATTTGGGAAATTTTATGCTGCCATGTTTTGATCACGTGATTTCTATTTTCTGTCCTGCACATGTGTGTGCCAGTAATATCTCTGCGGTCGGGGTTGTCTGTTATCGTGCTTGAAAATCAGTATGCCAGCATCAGAATATTTAGTTACAAGTCTGATGAAATTCGCGGAAAGCCTGGAATATCAATGTTTTCATTACCAGAGTTCAAGATAAATCCTTTCCAATCAGTTCTTTGTTTGCAGTTCCCGCGTGTTTAACCTAACACGTTAGCATCACAAAACATCACGTAACATCACTGCGTGTACTCACATTTATCAAAAGAGTCATTTAGGCTTTCAAAACGCCTCGCATATCGCTTGTCCTCACTAAATGTCTGTGTATAAGTTATGATAACGAAATAAATCAATTGCGAATTCAATGCTGAGCTTCAATGGATGACAGAGATGGAAAAGGAAGAGTAAAATGCACATGCGTAATGGATGTAGCTAAGCAGTTATATACATTTGCATTAGAGTTATCTTTCCTGGACCATATTTCTATTTGTCTCCATAACGTGACTTAACTCATATTGAGTTAAGTCTGATTAATATTTTTCATTTATACACAACCGAGTTTGCCACTTTTTCTAATGATTAAGAATAGAATTAATTTGTGAAAGTACAAGGATGTGTCAATCAAACCCGCCCAAAAAATTTAAAATTTTAATATCTTGAATATGAAATAAGATTTTTGATTATTTTTTGTGTGAAATGCTAATAAAATATTTACGAGGTGTGATCAAAAAGTTTGCGAACTAATTTAATATTTTCCATAAAAGAAGCAATATTTGGTTTCAATGTTGATTTTATTTTAAGGGGGGCGACTATAGTTTTATTGTTTAAAAACTACAATAGCGAAACTCGTCATTTTTATACCATATATAACTTACATTAACTTCAGTGTACATGCAAAATTTGGGGGAAATCTACCGTCCAGGTTTTTAGAGGGACCGTCTTAAAATACAGGCACATTTACTATAGGATTATATACGAAAATGACAATTTTACGCCCTTTAAAGCAAATTAGACAAATACTACAATAGACATTTTGTTGAAACTAAAATATTTGATGAGTAATACTATATTATATAATATATATAAGAAACACAAAATGCAACCGCCTTGTTACCAGAGGGGGCATCCCAAAATGCAAAAAGTTAGCAAATTTTACTATTTTTATAAAGTATTTCAGAATATGACGTACTCAATGGATTCACATGAAAACACAATAAAAATATTGAAGATATTCCCAAATTTCTATATTTAAAATTTCAAGAGTGTATATTTATTACTTTTTCTTTAATAATATTTTTATTATCCCTTTCTTTAAGAGTTACAGATTATCATAACGTCAAAAACACACTGCAACGACGTCAACCTACCTATCAATTGCAAAATCGGTTAAAATGAGTTATATCAAATTGTAATTACATTTTTATACCTATATTTTCTTAATTTTGTTTAATATTAATAATTAAGCGATAAAAGTTGCATTGAAACCGTAAATACGCTTCATTTTACTATGATGCGCGAAATATTGCGCAATGGAAACTATAATCGGCCCCCTATAGGAAAAAGAGTACCAAAGACCCAGATTTTGACATCATTTCCTGGTTGAACAAGATGAAGCAGAGTAATAAATGGGTAGGCTTTACCTGATTGGCTGAATTCAGGTGTGTAAATATTTTCATTTTAAAGTAAAAATATTAATGCTTGAAATAAATGATGGAATGTGGGAATATTACAGAAAATATAGAAATACCAGGGGAGATTGTAGGAGTGGGGATTGATATTTTTGGCAGGGTGTCATTTACTGCCGATCTCTGTAAGTTCCAAATAACTGCAAATTTGACCTATAAACGCCACGGCACGGTATATTTTTTTCCGTGTTTTTAATAAGTGCTTAGAACGAACTTTCAAATGATACCAGAGATTTGTTTGAACGGGAACAAGTAAATTACTTGGAGGGAATAAGGTTTGTATAGAGTTCTATGGGAAATTAATTGGTACTCTTTTCCCTATAGAGACCCTGTTTTTTAATATGTAAGGTGAAGTGAAAGTCATAAAAAGTTATTTTTAGCTAAATATTTGAATATTGAAGACATTTCGAGAGAAAAATTAGCCAACATTCGAATTATTTTTCTGTAAAATTGGGGTTAGAGGTGATTTTGGGTCTTTTGTAGAGGTGGGGGGGGGGGCAGAGGATGGAAATTGGTAAAACAATGTGTAGTTGACATGGTCAGAGGAGAAAGGTTAGTTAAGAAAATGTATCAGATTGATCAAATAATAGATGTTTGTATGTATTCATAAATTTATGTATGTATTTTACATGTACATGTAATTGTGTATTTATATGAATTGCTATATATGTGTACATTTGGAAGTGTGGGATGGTGGCCTGGTGTTAATTTTTATTTAGTTTCTTATACGTTTGCACGTTTGGTATCTTTTCGAATAATTTATTTGGCCCTTAAAAGTGCCTTTCGTGGTTTTTATCTGAAAGGAGGACATTTTATGTCTTGACGTATCATGTTGCTAGTGTATGTGATCCTCTGGATTGCCTCCCTTGGACTGCGGGGGGATCTGTTTGTAGCTTTGTTGTTTCTATATTGTAGCTACACAAAGGTCTGTGTTTTTCCTTTTTTTACTCTTTGTAGTTTCCTCTGGTAGAGTCTATAACATAACCTAGTCCTGGATTTCGGGAATGTTATTTCCGGTATGGTTTTCACATGTATAATTTTCTTCAACACCGGCTCTGGTAGAGTCTATAACATAACCTAGTCCTGGATTTCGGGAATGTTATTTCCGGTATGGTTTTCACATGTATAATTTTCTTCAACACCAAACCCGATTTATTTTTGTGACATTGAGGCGGGAAATCCAACTTGGAAAAGGTTAGGGTATGCATATCTCTTTTGAATGCCGTTATCCTTTCATCTCAGAAAATGTATGAAATGGACGAAGAAACAGGGTATGAATTTGTATGAAGTATAATATAGTGAATATGCGGTATTGAGGAAAATGTTAACATCTTGATAATTTTTTTATGAAGATATGGGTACTATGGTACCCATTTTGATTACTTTTTGAAAAAAGGAGGGGTGTTAAATAAATATTTAATTTTCATTATTTTTATTTTTCGTATCCATAGTGACACTTGGAAAGACCTGCTTGATGGTGAATTAACATCACACTCTGGGTTTGTGACATCTTCCACAAAATTGGACAAGTTGTTACAGGAGTATGATTATGCAACTTCGTCCAGGTTCCGATGTATAAAAAGTTCCAAAGAATTTGGAAAAGATGTTGGTAAGAGCTTGTGGCTATATTTTATTATTCAATGCCAATTATGCTTTATTTAATACTTTAGAAATAGTAAACACTTTAGCTCACGGGAACCATAGGGTTATGGTGTCAGGTGGTAACGTTTAAAATCAGTGTTTGACCTGCAATGGTTATATCCTATGAGGTATGCTTGGAAAATGAAACTATGCAGGTTGAACATGTGCTTATGAAAGTTTTTCGATATAGTCGTTCCAGTTACTCCCACCCTCCTCTAGATTATCAATTTTAAAAATCTAATTACTTTATACACACTTAATTTTCTTTTGCAATTGCTAATAGATGTAGGAAGAATTGATAACGCCCATATTAGATTTGTGGACACACAGGGAAATGCTGAACCCCAAATAGAATATGATGCCATCCCTTTCATCATTATGGGTAAAAGAGTCCTTGAATGTCATCAGGGATATGACAGAGACAAAAGGAACAACAAAAAGAAAAAAATGAAATCAAGAGAAGATGTAAGTATGCATAATTTATTCTACTACTTCAGAAAAAAAGTCCATTCATTAAACTTTACTTTAAACTTTAAACCAGTCACGGTTCAATATACTCCATTCACTAAAAAACAATAATCCAGTCTCGGTTCAACATACTCCATTTACTAAAAAACAATAATCCAGTCTTGGTTCAACATACTCCATTCACTTAACAACATAAACCAGTCACAGTTCAACATAACCAAGTCATGGTTCAACATACTCCAGGCACTAAACAACCTATCCCAGTCACTAAACAACATGACCCAGTCACTGAATAGCATAACCCAGTCATGGTTCAACATACTACATTCACTAGAAAACATAACCCAGTCTCAGTTCAACATACTCCAGTCAGTAAGAAACATAACCTAGTCTCGGTTCACCATACTCCGTTCACTTAGCAACATAATCCAGTCTTGGTTCAACATACTCCATTCACTAAACAACATAACCCAGTCTTGGTTCAACATACTACATTCACTAAACAACCTAACCGAGACGTGGTTCAACATCCTCCAGTCCCTGAATAACATAACCCAGTCTCGGTTCATTATACTCCATTCACTAAAAAACAATAATCCAGTCTCGAATCAACATACTCCATTCACTAAAAAACAATAATCCAGTCTTGGTTCAACATACTCCATTCACTTAACAACATAACCCAGTCTTGGTTCAACATACTACATTCACTAAACAACCTAACCGAGACGTGGTTCAACATCCTCCAGTCCCTGAATAACATAACCCAGTCACAGTTTAACATACTCCAGTCACTGAACAACCTAACCCAGTCTCGGTTAATTATATTCCATTCACTAAACAACATAATCCAGTCCTGGTTCAACATACTTCATTCACTAAACAACATGACCCAGTCACTGAATAGCATAACCCAGTCACAGTTCAACATACTCCAGTCAGTTAACAACCTAAACCAGTCTCGGTTCAACATACTCAAGTCAGTAAACAACCTAACCCAGTCCCGGTTCAACACACTACATTCACTAAAAAACATAATCCAGTCTTGGTTCAAAATACTACATTCACTAAACAACATAATCCAGTCTTGGTTTAACATACTACATTCACTAAACAACCTAACCCAGTCACAGTTCAACATACTCCAGGCACCTATCAACATAATCCAGTCATCGTTCAATAACTCCAGGCACTAAACAACCTATTCCAGTCACTAAACAACATAACCCAGTCACTGAATAGCATAATCCAGTCACGGTTAAACATACTACATTCACTAAAAAACATAACTCAGTCTTGGTTTAACATACTTCATTCAGTTAACAACATAATCCATTCAAGGTTCAACATACTACATTCACTAAACAACATAATCTAGTCTTGGTTCAACATACTACATTCACTAAACAACCTAACCCAGTCAAAGTTCAACACACTCCAGGCACTAAACAACATAACCCAGTCTTGGTTCATTATACTCCATTCACTAAACAACATAATCCAGTCTTGGTTCAACATACTTCATTCACTTAACAACATAACCCAGTCCTGGTTCAACATACTCCAGGCACTAAACAACATAACCCAGTCTTGGTTCATTATACTCCATTCACTAAACAACATAATCCAGTCTTGGTTCAACATACTTCATTCACTTAACAACATAACCCAGTCCCGGTTCAACATACTCCAGGCACTAAACAACATAACCCAGTCTTGGTTCATTATACTCCATTCACTAAAAAACATAATCCAGTCTTGGTTCAACATACTACATTCACTAAACACCTAACCCAATCACAGTTCAACACACTCCAGGCACTAAACAACATAACCCAGTCCTGGTTCATTATACTCCATTCACTAAACAACATAATCCAGTCTTGGTTCTACATACTTCATTCACTTAACAACATAACCCAGTCCGGGTTCAACATACTCCAGGCACTAAACAACATAACCCAGTCTTGGTTCATTATACTTCATTCACTAAACAACATAACCCAGTCTGGTTTAACATACTACATTCACTGAACAACCTAACCCAGTCACATTTAAACACACTCCAGGCACTAAACAACATAACCCAGTCTTGGTTCAACATACTCCATTCACTAAACAACATAATCCAGTCTTGGTTCAACATACTACATTCACTAAACAACCTAACCCAGTCTTGGTTCAACATACTCAAGTCAGTAAACAACCTAACCCAGTCCCGGTTCAACACACTACATTCACTAAAAACATAATCCAGTCTTTGTTCAACATACTATATTCACTAAACAACCTAACCCAATCACAGTTCAACATACTCCATGCACTAAACAACATTATCCAGTCATGGTTCAACATACTCCATGCACTAAACAACCTATTCAGTCACTAAACAACATAACCCAGTCACTGAATAGCATAATCCAGTTACGGTTAAACATACTACATTCACTAAAAAAACATAACTCAGTCTTGGTTTAACATACTTCATTCAGTTAACAACATAATCCATTCAAGGTTCATCATACTACATTCACTAAACAACATAATCTAGTCTTGGTTCAACATACAACATTCCCTTAACAACATAATCTAGTCTTGGTTCAACATACTACATTCACTTAACAACCTAACCCAGTCTTGGTTTAACATACTCCATTCACTAAACAACATAATCCAGTCTTGGTTCAACATACTTCATTCACTTAACAACATAACCCAGTCCCGGTTCAACATACTCCAGGCACTAAACAACATAACCCAGTCTTGGTTCATTTGATCCAATCACTAAACAACATAGCCCAGTCTTGGTTCAACATACTACATTCACTTAACAACATAATCCAGTCTTGGTTCAACACACTCCAGGCACTAAACAACATAACCCAGTCTTGGTTCATTATACTCCAATCACTAAACAACATAATCCAGTCTTGGTTCAACATACTACATTCACTAAACAACCTAACACAGTCACAGTTCAACACACTCCAGGCACTAAACAACATAACCCAGTCTAGGTTCATCATACTCCATTCACTAAACAAATTCATGGCCACACATGGGTTCTGGTGTTAGGGCATACTATTGATTATATAGTGAAAATACATTAAATCTTTGAAAATCTTCTTCTCTGTTCCTAGGTATTAAATAAACTAACATAAGTACATAGTTATGATGAGCAAGAGTGTCTCTACAACATAAATTGTGAACATTACATTCATGGCCCCAACCCAGTCACATTTAAACACACTCCAGGCACTAAACAACATAACCCAATCCAGGTTCAACATACTCCAGGCACTAAACAACATAACCCAGTTGATTATATAGTGGAAATACATTAAATCTTTGAAAATCTTCTTCTCTGTTCCTGAGTATTAAATAAACTAACTAAGTACATAGTTATGATGAGCAAGAGTGTCTCCACATAAATTGTGAAATTCATGGCCCCTGGGTCAGGGGTTCTGGTGTTAGGGCAGGACTCTATTGATTATATAGTGAAAATGCATTTATTCTTTGAAAATCTTCTCTGCTTCTGAGTATTAAATGAACTAATTAAGGACATAGTTATGATGAGCAAGAATTTTTCTACCAAAATTGTGAATTTTATGTCCCCATGGGTCAGGGGTTCTGGTGTTAGGGTGTGGCTCTATAATGATTATAAGTGAAAATACATTACATCTATTAAAATCTTTTTCTCCACTTCTGGGTAATAAGCAGATGAACTATTTATATAGTTATGATGGGCTCCTCTTCCAGAATTGTGAATTTCAAGGCCCCTGGGTCAGGGATACCAAAGTGGGGGTGGGGGGGCTCTACTTATATACTGAAAATGAATTGTTTGAAATTGCTCCTTGGTATTAATCAAGTAATTTTGATAAGCAAGTGTGCCTTTTCAAAAATTGTGCAATGTGTAGACCTAGGATCAGGAGTTCATGTGCAGGAGCACTCCTGATTATTGCTGAATATTACTGATTAGTTGACATACATTTTTGTTCCCCTACCCTGCTTATGGGTATTAAGTAAACAAACTAAATAATTCCTAAGTGTATAGTTATGATTAGCAATGGTGCCTCTTTCAAAGTTGTGAATGCCATTGCATCTAGCTTAAAACATAAACCAAATTCAATCATTTGAAAGTTGTTGCATGATGCTCAGGTGACCTACATGTATAAGGCCCATTGGCCTCTTGTTTTTAAATGCAGTTTATTTTTCTGTGTGTGTTTTCATATGGTTGATTTGACTCTGCTAAAATTTATCATTAAACACAGCTGGTTTAATATTTATATGAACACACAGAATTATTAGAAGCATGTATTATATATACCTACAGTTTATAATTTGGCATTGTAGCTATTTTTTCCTTTTACTTTAGATATATGCCTAATTCAAAGGTGATGCGTTTGGGAGAAAGTTCTGCAGTTCCCTCAGTAAGTACACAGTTGAGAGAAAGCAATGCCATTATGTAGAGCTTGGTTCGTTATGCCATACCGTGAAAGTATAGATTGTATGTCATGTATTTGTCTTCAGTCTTTTTCTGCCTTAATTTGCTCAGTTACAAAGAAACTATTCAAGAGAATTCTTTTTTATAAAACATCCTATATTTATATATATATATATATATATATATATTGGTGATAGCATTTCAAAACAAAACATCAAAACAGTTTAATATACTTTATAACTGTACTTAATTTCATCATATTTTTCATTCAGAAAGCCTCAGATCAGATAGGTGAATGCAATGGCTGGTTGCACACGAGTGTAAAAGCTAAGGTAAGTATTTATTAATAAAAAGAAAAAAAATAGACATGTAATTTACACCTTCATTTAATAAAAGTATAGCAATGACTCTCTTGTTATTTTCTCTGTCACCATGCAAATCATTGCTGAAGAAAGCAAATTTTATGGGGGTTCATCATACTACATCTATATATTAAGTATCTTTAAACCATCAACATTATAAAAATAATATGCTTACAATATATATTGTGTGAAATTATTATCCTGCGAAAAACATTGCCAACAGAGGTGAAGCATAGGTCAGCAATATGGTTTTCAAGGGTTAACAATTTCATGTTTAAGTCCTGAAAAACATGAATTACTTTTTATGCGCCCGAATCGATAGATCCGAGGCGTATATTGTTTTTGTCCTGTCTGTCTGTCTGTCTGTCTGTTTGTTTGTTTGTTTGTTTGTCTCCAAACTTTAACCTTAGCCATAACTTTTGAACCATGAAAGGTAGAAACTTCATATTTGGTATGCATACTTCACTAATGAGGTGCTTTCAATTGACACCAATATTAATGACCTGGTGACCTAGACTGTGACCTATATGCTAAAAATAGCTTTTCCGTAACTTTCACCATAACTTTTGCACCATAAAAGATAGAGGCTTTATATAAGGTGTGCATACTCCACTAATCAAGTTCTTTTCAATGACACCAAGGTCAATGACCTTGTGACCTTGACTGTGACCTATGCTAGTATGCTAAAAATAGCTTGTTAGATTTTTGTTGCCGCCGGGTGCATTGTGTTTCACAAACACATCTTGTTTATACTTAAAAAAGTATAACAATATGTTATTATAAACATGTTATATGTTATTTATACTAGCTTCTTTAGTGGGCATTTTATAATCGCTAAAATTACTACTCGCTAAAAGTAAAATACCAGTTTTTAAGGAGAAATTGCTAAATTTGTGTCTCCCTAAAATTTCCACTTATACGGTAGCAGATGCTTGAAATTTTAAAACATACTTTGTTGAGGCATTCTGTATGGTGGGATTTATTTTTGTGTGAATCTGATGTCAACTTCCTATTTATTCGTGAATCTGCCTGTAACTGAACTTTACATGGTGTACATATATATATTAATATATAGTTTATTTTTACATCATAGTGGAGGTATTACTAGTGAGCACTGGCTCACAGATTTCTTGCTAGAAATTAAAAAGATTTCATGGTTTGTCCTACATATTGTTACATTGTTTCGTGCATTTTTGTTTCAAAGAGATACAGTAACAACTGGATAAAATAAAAATGTTATAAACTTCAGTTTTAGGATGTATATTGCTTTTGCAGGTGTTATGAACCGCATTGGAGACATCTACGTTGGATTGACAGGAATGACTTGACAGACCATAATGTGATGAATAACTGTTTGAAAGGAATGAAAGAAAGAGATAAACTTTTTCAAAAAGAGGTAATTTTAACATTCAAATGTTTCCTCTGTAGTATATAATACATTTCATATGACTAGTCTTGCATATTTTGTACCCCTTAATTGCTCTATGCAAGTTATGTAACAGTTATAGAGACTATTTCTTAACTTGATTCATTTTTTTTTTAGCTCACATGAGCTAAAAGCTCAAGTAAGCTTTTTCTGATCACCTATTATCTGCCTTTTTTCTGTCTATTTGTAGGGCAGGACCCCATTAGGAAGTCTGAAATTTTTCATTGAAATATACAGGGAAATTCTTTAAAAATCCTCTTTTTAAGCTAGAAAAGCTTGAAATTTTTGTGGAAGTTTCGTTGAGTAGTGCAATTTCTAAGTTGTTCAAGTCATGACCCTGAGGCAGGGCAAGGCCAAAACAGGAATTTAAAAGGGGAAATCTGGTAAAGTTACTCAATCAAGTGAGGGATGTGGCCTCTTGTTTATTAATCAGAGTCTTCTTCTACTCATGATATATTTAAGTAAAACATAAGCGCTTCATGTGTTTTTCATTATGATATATTTAGGTATGTATTAATGTGTGTAAGTGTGTGAGAGAGGGTAAGGGTGTGTTAGAAAAGGAAAAGAATACAATTGACTTTTTTTTTTTATTCTTAAAGGGATGGGCCGAAATAAGTGCTCTTGTTTTAGAAGAATTCGGCTTGTTTAAACCCAAAACAATCATGTAAGTTTCTATCTCAATTTAATTTAGCTATTTAATAAAGTTGTTTTGGAAGATGAATCTAAACCTGTCACCTTTAGAGGTTTGTGACTATTTATGTCTATAAGTTAACTAAATTGTCATTGTTACTAAATTGTGCATTTCCTAATTAATACAGTTGAAATAATAAAACATTTATTTCAAAAGGTAGAAATTGCACCCATTGAAGAATAGCTATAAATCCCTCTTTTTGTGATAACTTTATTTTTTTTGCAAAAGTAGCAAGACTATTTAATACTTGGGAATTTTTTTGTTCTTGCTTATAGAGTCCCTCCTAAATTAAAAAATCATGTGGGGCAATAATCAAAATTCATTAAAATTTGGTTTTTCTTGTAAACACCAAATAAAAAGCATTCATTTAACATCAAAATAATTCAAATTCCCCTTTTCAACTAATTAAAGATGACTTAATAAATTATGTTCAGAATTCTTGTTTCAATTTTTATTTTTTGATGGAAAAATTATTGAAATGTTTATATTTCTCTTTTTGGATATTAGTGGTATCTTCAGTCCTCCAGGGTTTTACCTTAGTTTAAAAAACTGCACTAATGGAAAACTAAAAGCAACGCTGGAAGATGGGTATGATAGTTTATTATATTTAGTCAACATTCAACTAACTGTGATATTTAAAATATCCCTGTAATAACAATCTGGAGTTATATCTTTGTAACTAAATTGTTAATTATATTTAAGTAAACCGTATATTTCTTAATATCCATAATTTATTATAATTCACATCTGTTATGATCTTGATTTGATTATTATTAATTATAGACGACTTTATTCTTAATTATTTCATACATTTTATTTTAGGCCAGGACAGAGATTGAATGAGGGAGTTGCATATTTTAGGGATGTATTGCTTGTAGAAGCAAGAATCCTTATTGCCTCCACTGTAAAAAACATTACTTATAGAGAAGCTGAAAAACTTCTCTATCCATTGAAATAACAATTAAAAATAGCATTGCTAAAGAGTAAAGATGTATATATATATATATATATATATATATATATATATATATATATATATATATATATATATATATATATATATATATATATATATATATATATATATATATATATATATATCACGATATGATGAAAGATCACTATGTTGTTCAAATAGACAGTCAGGGCAATCCATGATGTACTTTGCTACTGTAGATAAGTAAAGTCCTTAACTCTGATAGTCATGATTTCATTCATATCACATCCACACCAATTCCAAAGTGTTGTATCAATAATTCTTACTTGAACCATTATTTAGTAAATGTTGGAAGAAATTGATGAAAATTTTATATCAGTTGACTAGAGGAAAATATTAACTTGTTCTGTTTTTCTGACTTGAAGTGAAACAAATTTTACATTCAACAATCATTGGATTTTTGTGTTATTTTAAAAGGAACACTCGTGCAGCCATAATTTTTTTTTCAATATAGAACTTAAATTTGTATAATTATCAGATGATTATATATCCATAATTTAAAAGTGATTCAAAATGATGTACTTGTAATACATTCGCATGGACTTAGAATTGTATGTGTAGCTAATTTTGGATGCAGATCATTAGTTAAACTGTTATATATGTTATATATTTATGAATTAACTCTGTTGGAAGTGATCATTCATAGATGATGCAACTTAATATTGTTTAAAATTTGTGCAAAGCTGGATACAAAAAAAAAACTAATCATAATTTTAAGTATCAAATCTCGTTTGAGTGAAATAAATTATTTTCTTACAACTTTTATATATATAATCTGCCTTATTTTTGGATAGTATTAATTATCCAGGTCCAATCAAGGGTGTACAGGGATTTATTCTGTATACTTTGAGGAAGAAGGGTGTATGGAATCACCATACACCCTTAATTGGACCTGGATAACGAATTTATTTCCTACTTTGGACCCATAAACATCAGAGCCAATCTATGGATCAGATAACTTCTATAACTACATACTACAATGCATCCTGACACCATGTTATTTGGATTTTATCATAGAGAAAGTGTGTTTTGTGACATCACATTTTATTTACCCCCTGCTTAAGCGGGGTGCCAAAATTTAACATCAAACTCTGTAACCAATCAAAGCTTGTGTTCCAAGCTACATAGGAAATAAAAAATTATACACATTTATTTTGTTCCATGATTGGAAAATGTTTCTTGGTGACTTGGCTATGCTGTTTTGTGACTTTGTCATGTTAAACCGTGAGTGGGTTAGGTTGTTTAGAGAATTGGTTATGTTGAAAGGTGACTAGGTTAGGTTGTTTAGAGAGTTGGTTATGTTGAACCGTGACTGGGTTAGGTAATTAAGAGACTTGTTAATATTGAACCATGACTGGGTTAGCTTGTTTAGAGACTTATTTATGTAGAACCGTGACTGGGTTATGTAGTTTAGAGACTTGTTTATGTAGAACCGTGACTGGGTTATGTACTTTAGAGACTTATTTATGTAGAACCGTGACTGGGATATGTTGTTAAGAGACTTTATTATCTTGAACCGTGACTGGGTTAGGTAGTTTAGAGACTTATTTATGTAGAACCATGACTGGGTTAGGTAGTTTAGAGACTTATTTATGTAGAACGACTTTTTTATGTTCAACCGTGACTGGGTTATGTAGTTTAGAGACTTGTTTATGTAGAACCGTGACTGGTTTAGGTAGTTTAGAGACTTGTTTATGTAGAACCCGTGACTGGGTCATGTAGTTTAGAGACTTGTTTATATTGAACCATGACTGGGTTATGTAGTTTAGAGACTTATTTATGTAGAACCGTGACTGGGTTAGGTAGTTTAGAGATTTGGTTATGATCAACCGTGACTGGATTATGTAGTTAAGAGACTTTTTAGCTCACCTGAGCTGAAAGCTCAAGTGAGCTTTTCTGATCACCCGTTGTCCGTCGTCCGTCCGTCCGTCTGTCCGTCCGTCCGTCCGTCTGTAAACTTTTCACATTTTCAACTTCTTCTCAAGAACCACTGGGCCAATTTTAACCAAACTTGGTACAAAGCATCCTTGGGTGAAGGGGAATGTGTAGGACCGTGACTGGGATATGTTGTTAAGGACTTTTTTATCTTGAACCGTGACTGGGTTAGGTAGTTTAGAGACTTATTTATGTAGAACCGTGACTGGGTTAGGTTGTTAAGAGACTTGTTTATATTGAACCGTGACTAGGTTATGTAGTTTAGAGACTTGTTTATGTAGAACCGTGACTGGGTTAGGTAGTTTAGAGACTTAATTGTTTATGTAGAACCGTGACTAGTTTAGGTAGTTTAGAGACTTGTTTATGTAGAACTGTGACTGGGTTATGTAGTTTAGAGACTTTTTTATGTAGAACCATGACTGGGTTATGTAGTTTAGAGACTTGTTTATGTAGAACCGCGACTGGGTTAGGTAGTTTAGAGACTTGTTTATGTAGAACTGTGACTGGGTTAGGTAGTTTAGAGGCTTGTTTATGTTGAACCGTGACTGGGTTAGGTTGTTAAGGACTTATTTATTTGGAACTGTGACTGGGTTAGGTAGTTTAGAGACTTGTTTATGTTCAACCATGACTGTGTAATGTTGAATAGTGACTCACTGGGATATGTAGTTCAGTGGTTGGGTTACACTGTTCGGTGACTGGGATCTGTTGAACCATGACTGGATTACTAGGTTTCCCTGTGTATCGGATTTTTGTTTCCGATTAATGTTTTTTTTTATGAATTGTGGCACAGTTGAACATTTTATTAGGTTATGTTGAACACCTATATATCATCATATATATTGCTCGTTGAACGTTATTTTATTTCTAGGACCTAATTCCTTTTATCCAGGTTCACATTTAGAGACTAATTACCTAGCTTTATATGGGCTGGATTCCATTTAACAACCTTCTTTTTGTCTCGGTAGATTAACATACTTAATCAAGTAAATAATATTCTGCAGTACGTGCACATGCTAAGTACTAAAGTAGGTCACTAGTTCTACTTTGGCATGCTTGTGTATAGAAGTGATACTAATAGGTGATGAAATTTATTATGTTTACTATTAAATACCACAAACTTAGTGAAATCGTACTTTCGCTTGGATGTCATAATATTAGGTCTCCGATTAAAAATCGAATTAGTTGCCACACATCATCATGTTTACAAAAGTATATTGCATCGGGATAGAATATGTGTTCTATTACAAAAAACCATACCGGAAATAATATTCCCGGAATCCAAGACTAGGTTATGTTATAGACTCTACCGAGACGTTTTGTTACCGTTTTGTACGTCATCAGAAAAAGATTCAGGTGCGTGAATTGTTAATGAGTCTTCAGATTCTCGCTCTGATTTTCATGAATATGATTCTGACAGCAAACATTCATTTGGTAGCAAGACGGACGTAGTGATGATGATACCAAATCAACAATGTTTGAATTTGAAATGAAACAGGTAGGTGGATCTTGGTTTATAATACTATGTATCTTATAAAAAGGCTTATTGATATGTAAAAAATAAATAATAAACAATTTTGATGGGGACTTGATTATGGACAAGAGAAGAATTTTTACAAGACACTATCAGGTCTGGTACAATCACTAGATTTAGCTATATACGTAGTTTGATTTACCTACTTAGTTAGCTTTATTTACCTACCTGAAGTAGCTTTATTTAGCTATCAAAGTAATTTATTTCTATAAAAATACCTACGTAGCTAAATCTAGTGATTGTACTTGACCTGAATATATACCTAGCAAACCTGTCAAGAGAAATTTCAAGGTTGGTACTTGTACATGTAGCAATAAAAATATCTGTATAAATTCAAGAATATTGCAAAATATTCACATCTGCAGAATTATAAATAGCATAAGTAGCCTTTGTGGGGTGATGAAGAGGGAATGAAAAGTTGAATAGGTCCAGGGTTTTCAAAGACTGTTTACTAATGGGGTACATTAAGAATTGGATAGGTGGGTCTTCACTGTCAATTAAATCACCATTATTGCCTCATATGTGGGCTGCATGATTATAAAGAATCTCATTTTTCAGATATTTATGAAATGTTATGAAGATGGCTACAGTTATGATTTTCGGCTTTTCAATTATGATTAAAGGAAAAAGAGTTGTCAAATACTTGTGCAGACTTTTCAAAATAAAGGTCACCATGTGTTCCTTGACAGGTTTGTGTTTAAAACATAACTAATATTATGAATATAAGTCTGGGAAATTATACTTTGTAAAGAATATTTCCTTTCATTCTTATAGTTCTCGTGCAATTTCAGATTATTCAAATTCATTTCCCTGGTTTAGGGCTGGGCTTTACAATGGGATTTTCAGCTGTGGAGCTTTAAAGAATTACTACATAGGGTTTCCAATGTAGCTTTGTAAACAGAATCCAGAAATTAGAAGAGGAGAGACAATGCAGATGCAGCATTAGCATTACCAATTACTTACCACTGCTGAGAAAATGGTAAAGATATATTAATATATTATTATACCTCTACTGTAATTACTCTGTATAAATTAATACCATAAAAAAAATCTCTATTTCCCCGAGAAGTGACTATTGCCCTCATCTGAGGACTACTCCCTGGAAAATCAGAGCTACTCCCTGGGACTACTCCTTCATGAATATTTATTAGTAATTTTAACAAATCAAAGTGTTCAGTGGGTGTAGCGTTCAAGGAATCTCGAGTCTGTGACGTCATGTTATTAGCAATGTAGCTGTGACGTCAAAACATTTTGGCGAGCGATGTCAAAATCATACTTGAATTCTACCAAAATGAAGACAACGATAATTTTTCAAAATGTCAGTGAAAATACTTTTTAAAAATAATTTAATTGTTTAAGGACACGATGCTTCACTTATCATACAATGTGTTAAACCGCATGCATTTGTAATTATGCCTCTACAGTTTTTTAGCTCACCTGAGCCGAAGGCTCAAGTGAGCTTTTCTGATCACATTTTGTCCGGCGTCCGTCTGTCCGTCTGTCTGTCTGTCCGTAAACTTTTCACATTTTCGACTTCTTCTCAA